CACACACACACACACACACACACACACACACACACACACACACAGACTATCGCTGAAAGGAAAAGGCTTTATGACACAACAACAGAGTATTTAAACCTATCTTTTTCTTCATCGAGGTTTAATAATGAAGTTGCCGTTCTGGGGTCAACCTCCGGACCAGAACTGCTTTGATGACTCGCTTTACTGGGAGGTGAGAACTCCAGTTTAGAGCATTTTAACTATGAATCAAAATTCATTCAGGAGATGGATGCTGTGACTTTTGGTTTTTGCAACCTTTATACTCTTCAAAATATTTAACTTTATCACCCCACCCACAAAAAAAAAAAAAAAAAAAAAAAAAAAAGAATTAGGAGCTCTTCGGTTCTTTTAAAATTGTAAATCTGCTACAGAAAACTTGTTTTAGTTTTGTATTCCTTCGCTACTTTAATATTTTAGCACTTTTTCTGTTAATTTTAGCTTAGATAAACTTTTTTAATACTTTACAACTTTTAGGTAACATTTAGCTACTTTTGGTTTTTGGTTAGCATTTTGTCCTTCTAGCTTTTAGTTGCTGTTCTGCTACTTTTCAGTTTTTGCTTTGGTATTTTAAGGTTTTATTTAGCCTTTGTTATTTCCAGCCCACAGACTAATCTTTTGCTACTTTTAGTTTTAGCTAGCATTGTGCTACATTTGGGTTTTAGCTAGTGTTTTCTTTATTTTTACTTTTACCAGCTAATTTTCATCTTTCATGCAAATATCATTCCACTGCATTTAATTTTTTCTTACAGTTTTAAAATGTTATTTAAATTCAATTTTTGTCTTTTTGGAATTCTGCTGCTTTTGTGTATCGAGAATATTTTTTTTGTTTGAAACTTTAATTAAATTATAATGTGTTTTCCAGGTTCCTGAGCAAGAGGAGGAGAACGAAGGCAGTTTGGCTACTGCAGAACAATCAAAGAACAAAGCAGAAGTTTAAAAATCTGCATTTTTACAAGAGAAGACTCGCCTTAACGTCAACTTTAGATTTAAGTCACATCGATGTGATTTAAAATATAAAACTTACATCTAGTTAGAATATTTTTAGTCATCCTGCATATAAAAAAATACACAAAGGCAGGGTACATTTAAAATCAGCAAGGAAATAAGTCAAGCAAACACAAAACTAGTTTTTTTTTATCTTGACAAACGTTTGTTTATTTTTCGATTTGTATAAAAACAACCATAGCAAAATTGTATTTTAAGATTTAATTTTACACTCAGTTTTAATAAAAAAGGGTATTCACAAACATGTCACTGCTGAAAAACAGCATCTTTTATAAGCTTTTTTAAAATAAAATTTTATATGTTTTTACATTTTTTACATTTACTATCGTGTGTATTTTTCCAGACTTTTCCCCACGTTTGGCTGTGAACACAGCTGAAATCTGCAGCTTCATGTTACCTCACTGGAGCCCGGTCCTGAGGCCCGGAGTCAGAGTTCGTTATAAAACAAAAACCTTCAAAGTGGATCTGGTGGACAGGGATGGTCGCGTAGTGTTCGTCTAACTAATTCTTTTTCTTTCTGAGGACATTTATACAATTTAACACGAAGTTGCTCCTATTGATCGAGCTGCATTTTATCATAATTTTTTGGTGCAGATGTGTTTTCACATGTACATACAGTTTAATTCTTAAATAAATCGACATGGTCAGTTTGATTAAAGCTAAAAATAACACCTGGTACTAAAAAACTGCAGTTATTTTCCCTCCTTTTTTTTACTGTTTTCATCACTGATGACCTTTTGTTAGGTTCGGTTCAACACCTGCTGTATTTAAGAGCCAAACTTATCACTTCCATCCTTTACTGAAGCAACATGTTTCAGTGCTGAATTATTGTTTTGTCGTCTACTTTAACTGAAAGCTTGATTAAACTGACTACAAATAGACTTTTCACATGAAACATCTTCAGGTTTGAAAAAAAAAAGAACACTGAAAATGCATCACATTTTTGTTTTATGTTTTTATACAGTGGGCACTGAGTCCTATTTGTTTGATATACTAATACTGTCATAATAAAGATGTTTTATTCAGTAATAATGTTCTGTGTGCAACTTTTTAATCAACCTTCACACTAGCACCATCTTATGGCCAAAATTAAATACTTACCAAATAACACGAATCATGCTTGCACAATAATAATAATAATAATAAAATTTCGTAGGCCAATACCCTGTTTTAAAACATATCTAGTAAAAGAATACAGTTTGATTAACACCCACACAACCATCTAATGATGTAGAAATTGTGTTAGGAATAAAAACTCAAATTTAAAAAATGAAAAAAAAGTTTTTGACCATCCAACAGTTTTTATATTCAAAGCAAACTATTATGTTTAGCATTTATAACAATATTATAAATATATATAATTATAATTATAAAGAAAGTCGTTTAAAAGTGCCTGCCCAGTCGTTCTGTTGGTTGTGTTTAAGTAATCGCTGCTGGGCTCGCTGTGTCATTTTTAGTACTGGAGTTTACAACAAGTGTGCAATTACACAATCTGTCCACTAGAGGGCGACGTTACAATGGTTCACCTTGAAACTAATGTCTTAAATATAATTTAATTTGTTTAATTAACTATGCTTGGATAGATATAAAAAACACATGTAACAGGTGAGAAACAAATGAGAAACATAATATACTTAGATTTATATCCCGAATTCAGTCCACTTCTATTTAAAACATCCTTCAAATATTCATTTTGTTTTGAAAGTACTTTTTTGGAAATGTTAGCAGGTAAACATTTTGTCAAGTTTGACAAACGAGTGTGTGCAGTTTGTTAATTTGTCCACAAGAGGGAGACTCTAGAAAGATTCAGTTTCAAACTAGCGTTTAAATTTTCGATTTCATTTCTTTAACTGTCAAAACATCTAGATGTAAAACAGATGCAGCCAATTACAAAACTTATATTTATATCCCGAATTCAGTCCTCTTTTGATTAAAACATCCTTCAAATATTTATTTTGTTTTGAAAGTATCTTCCGGAAATATAAGCTTGATATCAGTTTTTCAAGTTTGACAAACAAGTGTGCAGTTTGTTAATCTGTCCACTAGAGGGCGACTCTAAGATGATTTAGCTTCAAACTACTTTCGATTTCATTTAATTGAAATAACAGTGGTTAAATATAGAAGTAAAAACACATGTAAACAATTAAAACAATTTCATGTTTATCTACTTCGATTGGTCCACTTTTATCTGATCATTTTAAAAATATTCCTTTTGTTTTGTAAGTACATCTGTGAGTGTGCAGTTACCCAATTTGTCCACTAGAGGGCGACTTTATGTCATGTTTTGTTAAACTGTTAAAAGAAAGTCAGATTTGTTAAACTAGTTACATAACTACTGCATTTTGTAATTTTAGTCATTGATATATATTTCTGGACTGGATGTCACGTGACCTTGGCATGCTTTGAAACAGGGATGTTTATGCATAATGCATTGAGCTAACACACTAACCATTGAAATCAATGAGCAAAACGTAGCTCTGTGCAAAAAAAAACGCTTTATAAATGTACAAATTGCACAAATAATTTGCTATAAACTACAGAAATTGTTACAACATGTTTATAAGAGCAAAGTTAATTGTGTTCCACAGGCAAATATCACGCATATCTATTCAAAATTAATTACTTTAATCTTAAAACCTGCACGCTAAAAGATATGTTCAGAGTGTGCAATTACGCGACATGTCCACTAGAGGGCGACGTTACAATGATTCATCTTCAAACTAACGTTTTAAATTCAGTTTAATTTGTTTAACTAACTATGGTTGGATAGATATTAAAAACACTTTAACATAAGAGATTTAGATTTTAAATCCCGAATTCTTATTAATTTTAATCTGAAACATCTTTCAAATATTCATTTTGTTTTGAAAGTACTTTCCGGAAATGTTAACATGATGTAATTTTTTAAAACTGATGAACGAATGTGCAATTATTTAATATGTCCACTAGAGGGAGACTCTGGAATGATTCAGCTTCAAACTGGCGTTTAACTTTTCGATTTTGTTTCAGAATAAGAAACACTTTATTGCCATTGTCAATAAGCAAATTACAGACTTGGGATTTGCTCTGGTGTATTTGTTTAACAAACTGTCGTTAAATCTAGATGTAAAACAGATGTAGTTAATTACAAAACTTACATTTATATACCAAATTTAATCCATTCTTATCCAAACATCTTTACATTTTATTTTGAATGCACCCTCCAGAAATGTTTAACTTTTCGATTTTATTTTTTAAATAGCCTTGGTTATATACAGATGTAAAAAACATATGTAACCAATTAAATTAATTTCATGTTTATCTACTTTGGTCCATTTTTCCCCGAGCATTTAAAAAAATATTCCTTTTTGTTTTCAAAGTACACCTGTGACTGTGCAGTTACACTATCTGTCCACTAGAGGGCGACTACGTTCTGCTTGTTGATTTCAATTAGCATTAGCATTAGCTCACGAAGCCCACCCAGGTCACGTGACATCCGGAATAGGTGCATTATGGGATGCAAACAGTGTAAAGATTGCTAATTCACCGACCAAAACAGCGAATAAATTATAGGATTGAACGTTTTCTACAGCGGTTGGGGTGTAAATAAACATATGGATTGTTAAATGTTTTAACTCGTCATTATGGTGAGTAAAAAATCTATAATTCTTTAATTTAATTACAGTTTCACCGACGCTACGCGTTAGCTTTAGCTCAAGCCGGATGATGCTAGGTTAAACACTGGAAAGATAATAGACTTATTAAAGTCTTTTAACGACGACTTTTTCCTGCTTCGAAGTTTTACCTTTTATGATATTTATTTTTAAGTTGTTGATACATGTGCACCTGTGCTAGTTGATGATATTTAAAGGAAATCTTATCGGATTGAGTCGATCATGAGTTTAATAATATGTCGCTTCGTAAGCAGCAATAATCCTCAAACTTCTCTTTATGGTTCAGTCAACGAAAGCGGAATGCAGGGTGACCAGCTCCACGTCCAGAACAGAAGAAAGGAGGAGATCAAGAAGCAGAGGTAAGATTCAGATAATTTATTTCCCCCTTTTTTCATCTGTTATGGTTTGGAGCCAGAACTGGATGAAGATGCTGAGGTTCTCATTGGGAGGGACAAGGATGGATAGGATTGAATGAATTTATTTATTTATTTATTCTAGACAAAACAAATGTGATACATATTCCTCAGTGTGAATGCAACATCTTCTTACACCACACATACTACACAATTATACATAAATACATCAATTATTTTGAGGATATGTCTGAAAAGAGGTATGAAGAAGTTATTTGGGCATACCCCTTTTCCATCTTGTAGTCTATAACATAAATAATCTTACCATTTCCTTTTTTCTTTCTAAATACTAAAAAAAAAAAACTCCTAAACCAAATGTAAAACATACACACATACATGATATGCATGTTCACCCATACTTGCATTCACCTAGAATAAACTACACATAACATACATATGCAATAATATATATAGATCAGGATTGATTATTATTTGGTTATAGGTATGAGACAAAAACTCAGAAAACTTGTGATGACTTTGCAACAAACAACAAATGAACATAACTTCTGTATTTCTTGAGATAATTTGATGAAATTTGTTAGCAGAAGTAGGACATGGCATACTATTAACATTAGCTGCCTGTATTCAGGCATTTGTAGCTCAAATGTGCTTTTTAAGCTTGTTGAACTTCACTGCCCTAAATCTGCAAGAGGAAATGTCAGAATCCATTCAATCAAAAACGCGGTGAAAGACTAACGTCTTTACCTGGGGACAGATGGGAAACACAATAATTGGAGGGGAGCCTGAAAACACGACACACTCAGTATAACATACACACCTGTGGAACGCTCACGTCAACCGCGAGGTGTGGTTCACGTGTTTACAGCTTAAAGAACTATGAGATAAGACTAAGATGGTTTGGACATGTCCAGAGGAGGGACAGTGGGAATATTAAAGGAGGAATATGGATGAAGTTAGAGATGACGTGGAGGTCAAAGAAGAAGGAACAAACTGTATACTGTAGGATTCCTACACCTCTTATAAAAGAATATAAAGTTGAATCTTCAGTTAGTTGATTTCCCTGGTCTTATTTTGTCCCTTTTTATTATTGAATGAACATTTTTTTTGATTTGATAATTTAAAAACATAAACCATAAAACAAAGCACATCAATACTTCTAGATATAAAAAAAAAAAGAATTAGATCAGGACATGCAGCTTCCCTACAATATTAGAAGCACAGACTAGATTTGAACCTAACTAAGCTGTTTTTTGGATGTACTTAAAGGAAATGTAGATAAAAAAGAACGAATCTGTTTAAACATTTGCATTAGTTTTGGGATAAACTTGTTTATATTACATAGAAAGAATGAGCTGAGCGGCACATTCTGATGAAACTGAGAGTGTGTATTTTTATACACGTATGGAGGGAAACTTGTCATTTGGTGGGTATTTTTGGATTTTGTTTTGTAAAGATTGTAAATTGAATAAAGCTGGAATTTATTAGTTCAAAGAGTTTGTTTCTTTATGTTTTTGTCACAGAACAAAACCTGTAAAGTTCAAATTTCATAGGTTGGAAACTACATGAACTTGTCCTCGTTACGTTTCTTTTTAGAACGTGACAAAAGGAAACGGAAGCGAAGCCGTGACCGATCTTCCTCCTCATCCTCCAGTTCCTCATCTTCATCCTCATCGTCGTCTTCGTCGCCTTCTTCAGGGTCATCGCGTTCCTCCAATAGTGGTCGGAGCAGCTCGAGCAGTAGTGGTACATAAATACAGAAACAGGTTTTATATATTCAGACAGCTAAATGTGATTTTAGGCTTTTTAAAATGTATTTAATTTAAAGTTTGAGCACCTGAAAGACTGAAAGCCACATTTAAAAGAAAAAAAATTCTCACATCATTGTAAGGACCTGAATAAAGATTTATTTTACCGTCGTTTTCAGACTCTCGCAGCAAATCCAGAAAACAGTCGAAGAAAAAGAAAAAGGAGAAGCACAAAAAGGTAACATTTTATTTTTTGTTCTGCTACATTTTATGTATTTCCAAGAAGGAAATAAAAATATATTTTTGTTTCCTTAACAGAGAGGAAAGCGAGAAAAGAGACATAAACATAAAAAGGACAAGAAATCAAAAGGAAGAGAGAACTCTGGACCTGTTCAGATCTCTAAGGTAACAAAATATTCCCTGATATTTTATTAATTGTCTGATTAAAACTCCGGATGTTTTACTGTCTTAAGAATCTTTTAAAACATTTTTTTTTGTCTTTCAGTACCTGAAGGACAGAGAAAAGGGGAAGTACAGCATGATTTCAGGGAAGAAGATAAAGATGAAAGTGAAGAAGTCCAAAAAAGACAAGCAGGTGATTTTAAATTTCCTCTTTCAGCAAACAAGTGTTTTTATTTTCAAGCTTCACGACTTCATCCTTTCGTCGGCAGAGGGATAAAAATCGAGCAGAGCTCCTCGAGTTCCTGAACTCCACCCTGTGATGCCGCTGAGGACGCCTCTCCTGTCTGACCTGTCCGCAGAACTCAGGAAGCAACACGTTTCACTTCCCAGAAGAGGAAGAAAGAAGAGCTTTCTAACAGACAGTAGGAAAATAAGTGACTTTTATCGCCACAGGGGGGCAGCAGTGAGCTGGACCGAGCGAAGAAGCAGGTGATTATTCTTCAGGTGGTCTTTATGTAAGAAGTTTTGTTTCTCATCAGTTTCAAATTAAATTCTGTGACACACCTGCCTCCCAGCTGTCAACATGTCACACTTTCAAACAACTACTCCTACAATTTAGACTAAATGATGACATCGTCTGAAACACAAACCAACCACCATCCAGTCTCTTTGTTGTAAACAAGAAGAAACACCTGAGGACAAATAAAATTTACAGTTTTCTTTTTTTTAAAGAGCACTTCCCACTATGTGACATAAAGTTCTAAACATTTAAAAAAGTTTGAACAAATTTTTTCCTGTGACCTTGAGGCCGTCTGAGCTGAAACCATTGTTTAAATTGTTTTCTTTGAATTGAACATTTTGTCTTTCCTCGTCACGTTCCGTTAATAATCTGCCATTTTTTTCTGCCTCGAAGTCTAAACTTTATTTAGTTTTTGCTCGTATAAAACCAGTCGGTTGGGTTTGTGTGGATGAAGGTGCAGAACTTCGGTTTGTGTTGCCGAAGATGAAAATGCGGACATTTTAATTGCTAAAAAGACTTTATTTTGAAATGTTTCAGTCAAAGAACATTTTGATTATTTCTTCACATTTTTTTCTTTGTTGTTTTGACATGTTATAAATGATAATAATAATAATAAAAAAACGTCTTTTTTTTTTTAGTTGAACACTTTTTGCTGCAGAGTTCTGGTCGAGACCCAAAACATGACAGCACTTTGACATTAAAGTGAACTAAAACAGGAAAGCATTTCTTTCACAAAAAAATCACTTTACAGTCCTTTTTTTAAAATAATATTTAGCTTTTCTTTTTTAGATAATCTGACAAAACAAATGTGACCCATCACATCGAAACGAGGATTAAGTCCAAAAGTGGTATAAGGAGAAATAGGCAAATATAGTGTTTTGACTAAAATGTTAACAAAAATTGCATTTTGTCAAAATATAATGATTAAATACTATATCTATTTATCATTTGAATGAACTGTCTGAAATATAACAAAATTTTGAAGCACTTTTTTGAGCTGTAGCAACAAAAAAACTGATTTTGAGGTAAAACGCCTTAAAATGTTAAGATTTTCCCTGTGAGTTAGCAAAGTTTTGTTTCTTTTTAGCTGGGAAATCTCAATATTCAAATATAATTTGAGGTTTCCTCTTCATAAGGACATCAAAAATTCCTCATTAAAATTACATAAAATTAGGATTCAGACCAACTATTTATGTATTATTGTAACCATCAAGACAAATTAAGTCATATATATGGATTTAATTACAATATCAGGATGATCCAGGTATCAAAATGTAGCTTTTAAAGCCAAGAATCTGAAAATGTAATTAGGTCATTTTGACCAAATTTGACTTAATCCTCATTTCGATATGATGGGTCACTAATAGTTTTTCTGCAACAACAAAAAAAGCTTTAAATCTCAAATAACTCCTATAAGGCTAAAGAAAGTAGCCATCAAAGCGTTTAAGCAAAACATTTCTACAAAATAAGAAAAAGCTTTGTGTAAGATAATCTCAGGCAACATGTAAAACTGTTTCAAGTGCTGGAAACCGCCCCTGCTGTTAGCCTGTCAGGTAAAATGGGCTGCAGTGGTACTGAAGTGAAAATCTTTCCTTGACCCGGTTCAGAGTGGACTTCCTGTCTGAGTCCTGGAGGTTTATGGCTCCACTGAAAAGTCCTCCATCCTGGAACGCCTGGCCTCAGACGACCTTGCTGCCGCTGCCTCCCTTGTATCTGAAGTCGGGCACGCTCCAGACCCTCTGCAGCCGCTCCTCGGTCTCCATCCCCTTCTCCACGTCCTCCGACACGGTCTTCAGGTCGCTCAGCCCCGCCCCGTTGGCCACGGCGGAGGTGAGGCCCACCGTGCTGCCGAACGGGTTGATCTTGATCCGGGACTTGAAGTTCATGCTCATGGCGCGCTTGTTGTTCCACTGGCGGGCCAGCCGCTGCGCCTCCCGCTCCTCCTTCAGGTGCTCCAGAGCCTCCAGGAGGACGGAGCGGAAAAGACCCGACACCTCGTGCACCTCCGGCTCGTTGGACTGCAGGGCGTCTCTAAACCTGAGCAAAACCACACAAAAGTCTGCTTATTCGTAGATTTAATTATTATTTTTGTGATACATTGTTGATGTAATTCTGACAATGACTTTAAAAGATCATTTGCAAACGTTACAACTTCAACATTGTTTTGTTTGTTTCTTTACATTTTTTGCTTTGAATTGAGTCAGACTTTATTATAATCTGTTTGAGTGTCATAATTCATCTAAGAACAATAAAATACCTGAAGATCTTTAAATGAAGACCAGTTTGAAAGAAGGTTTGGCTCTTTGGAAGCAAAATATAAAGAAGTAAATATCTTATTTTGTTGTTTTGTTGATCAGGGGCCTGGTAAATCCTGAACAATCCAGAATATCTTTGTCTACAATAAGTATAAAGATAATTATTGTGGAGTGAAAGGTCAGTTTCACTGATGATGATGTCGTTCATGGAGGAAATCAACAAATAGTTCAATTAAAGAACATGAAGCAGTTACATCTGGTCAGGTTAACCTGGGTTAACGATTCAAGTCCGCACACTGAATCAGGTAATCTGAGGTCTAGATTAACCCGAATCCTTGGCACACTAAAGACAGCGAGTAAAATAAAAACAAAAACCAGCAGAATCACAGAACGAGCTGGGTCCCTGCTCCAAGTTGACTCGCTGGAAATGCTGGAGTCTCGTCGAGTCGTTCAGACGTTAACGACTCGAACGAACCGGGTTATTTTAGTGATTAATGCAGATTAACCCAGTTCTATAAAGGGAACCGAGTTTACCAGGCATCAGGTTAAATATGAGGAACATACACGTTGATGACTGCCAACTGATCCGAACCATTTATCACTAAAGATTCCTTTGAAGTGCTTTAAATAAAATTAAATCATGTGGAGCCAGAATCTGATGGCATCTTTAGATGTCTTAAACATTTGTGGAGCTACATCATGGGCAACCTGCTGTCTTATGGACAGATTGGGACAATATAGAAAACAAAGGGTTACAAAAGCTTGGACAAGTAATTGTCCACAGATGGACGGCTGGATAAATGGGTGGTAAAATCTGTGAATGACAGAGTTTTTGTGTGATTTTTTAAAAAATATATCTTTTCACCTGTTCCTGTTCAGGTGGATTATGAAAACTAATGATTTATTTATTTATTTATTATGTCCTGGATGACTGAGGAGCTGCGTCAGCACAACAGTCATCAGTTCCTCACCTGCATGAACTCGACACTTCTGCCAAGTTTACCCTTCACCTCCTCCTCCTCCTCCACCTCCTCCCTCCTCTTCTCAACACGCCTTCTGGGAACACGTTACCCAACAAGTGTTCCAGGTACTGTAAGTGATGTTCGGCCTTCTGTTCACACCGACAGAGGCAAACCTTGCTTAGAGGGGAAAACAAATCCATCTAAATCCCAAACTGTTGGATAATATTATAATAATAATTACTATAATAATGGATACGAAAAACTTAATAATTGGACAAGTACAATGTTAAAACTAGAAGCATTATATGGTTCCCACTGACATTTTGTTGTTTTATAAAGAGCTAAATTGGGGCCATAATTTTTGTAAAAAAAAATTTGAAACAAAACCTTTGGAAATGAAAAGGTGAAACTACTTGTTTCATATAATTAAATATGTATGGCATGCCATTGTATAATGTAATTTTAAAAATGGAATGCTGTTGTATCATAATTAATGTATGTCTTATAATTAAAAATATGGCAGGTCGTTTCCATAGAACTACCAATGTATGGCAGGTCATATATCCAAGATGTGGAAGACCGGCATTGCAAACGACTAATGTACATGGCATGCCATCATATCATATAATTAATGATGTATGGCAAGTCATTGTGTCATATGGTATAATTCAATTATATGACAAGCTCAGTTGATGTATGGCAGGCCCATGTGTCATATAAATTTAAATGTCAGGTAATGGCAGATTGTTGTATCATATAATCAGAAAACTATATATATATATATACAGAATAGTTTCAAGACTATTTTCAGTTAAATATTTTTTTAAACTTTGTTCTCAATTTAGCTTCATAGTTTTAAATCCACTTTGTTCCAACTTTCTTCATCTTTAAATAAAGACCTCAGCAGATTTTGTTTACCAGATCTTAAAATGAGCTCAGAACCTCTTTGCTGCAGATTAAAGCGTGGAGACACGCTGGATAACGGAGGAGCGAGACCGCTGATCGGGTTTCTGCCATATCTCCTCGTCTGCTTCAGTGATGATCCCTGAAGACGTTTTAGTCACAGATTTCTTTCGCGAGAAAGAAACTCTTTCTTTGCCCATTTTTGCTGTAAATCAGCAAAACACTTGAAGCAATTAATCTGCTTTCATTTATTCTCAGACCAGAGTGTTAATCCAGACTTGATTAGAAATCTTGGTGGGTGATTTTATTGCGGTGTCTTAACCCTTTGTTAGGAGGGAGTGAGGAGAAATGTAAAAAAAAAAAAAAAAGAAAACCACTGAACTTTTGGGACAGAACGGCCCTCTGTGACTAAAACACAGACATCTTTTGTTTCAATTATAAGTTTGACTACATTTATTGTAAGATTAGACGTCCAGCTAAAAGATGCTCTGATGTCACAAAGTGGAGGAAAAACCTAACGTAAAATGTGGCCTTACTTGAGGATGACCAGGCCGCAGCAGGGCGGGGGCACCTTGGCGCACAGGTCCTCCAGCGCCAGCCTCTCCCCGGTGCTGATGTTGAAGGAGGAGCGCGGCGTGCTCGCCAGCCAGCTGTAATCCACGCCGGTCTTCAGGCGGCGGTATTCGCTGTCCCTCTCCCGCTGCTGCCTCTCCGTCTCCTTCATCTGCCAGCTGAGCTCCAGCATCAGTGTGTCGGTGACGACATCTGCCGGGTCCTTCCGGGGGCTCCGGTAGTGTGGCTCGTTCCAGCTGAACCAGGAGGCCATGACCTTTGTCCTCCTCTACAAAAAAACAAAAACACAAAATTAACACGTTACGTAAAATGATGGTTTTCTACGAAGGTATTGGAATTTGACTTTAATGTCCAAAAACATTAAAAAATTTGTTGTCAAATACTTAAAAAATATTCAGTTTATAAAGATCTTTTTTTTCTGCAAATGTAAAAAAAATACGTAGAAATGAGGCAGTGAGCTGTTAAACTGAATTCTCTTTGCAGAAATCACAAACTGCTGCAGGTTTTGTTCTTTATTTCTCTCCGCTGCATATAAAAATATAAAAAGCCCACGTTCTCTTTGTTCCACAGGCGTCTCATCTCAGCCACAATAAAACCTCTGAGCTTTGATTGGCTGAATGTTTTGTTCTTAAAGGGCAGAAAGAAAGAAAGAAAGAAAGAAAGAAAGAAAGAAAGAAAGAAAGAAAGAAAGAAAGAAAGAAAGAAAGAAAGAAAGAAAGAAAGAAAGAANGAAAGAAAGAAAGAAAGAAAGAAAGAAAGAAAGAAAGAAAGAAAGAAAGAAAGAAAGAAAGAAAGAAAGAAAGAAAGAAATGAAAGTGGAGCGAATGCAGATGTGTTTACACTGATGAGATTTGATCAGGATTTTACTCCTGTATATGTTAGTTTATTTTATATTAGTATATGATTGTGAACTCAGAGAAATGCTAATATTCTGTACAAATACAGATGCTGAGTGCTAAAAGACTGCAGAAATTTTCTGAAGGAGCTAAAACTGTGTTAAAATGCTAAAACAAACAGAACAACTAAAAGCTAAAAGCAAATTACTCTAAAAAAAACTAAAGGAGCAAAGCACCTGCTAAAAGTAGCAAAACAATTGTTATTGCTAAAAGTTGCAAAATGCTAAAAAATGCACAAGGCTAGCTAAAAGTAGCATTATGGTAGCTAGAAGCTAAATTTTGCAAAGCAACAGTAACTAAAAGCTAATAAGCAAGAGGTTGGCTTAAAGCAGCAAATGGCTAAAACTAACAAAGACTAAAAATATTACATAAAAGTTTAAATAGAAAAAGGTAGCTAAAAGCTAACTTTAGCAAAAGGCTAGTAAAATGCAGTAAAAGGTTAGCTAGAAAATAAAAGCATAAAAACAGGTAAAAACTTATAAAAAGCTAGCTAAAAGTAGCAAAATCTTTGCTAAATGCTAAAGGTAGCAGAGCATTAACTAAATTTTTAAAAGTAGCAAAAGGCTGGCTAAAAGTAGCTGAAAGCTAGCTAAAATCGTCAAGTAGCAAGACAGCAAAAGTTGCAAGCTAAACCCTGAAATTATTAGAAAGGTATCTAAAAACTAAAATAAGCAAAACGCAAGATAAATGTAGCAGAGCTGTAGCTAAAAGCTGCAAAAGGCTAGCTGAAGACTGAAAGTAGCAGAATCGTAGCTAAAAGCTAAAAGTAGCTAAAAGCTAGTTAAAAGCTAAAAGTAGAATGTTAGCCAAAAATTAGAAGCAGCATCAGAAGAATGGTTTCATTTTCTTCTTTTAGTTTAGTTTCAGTAGATTAAGAACTGTTTATAAACTGTTCGTTTACATGTTTACTCTGGGGTTCTGTGGGTCAGATTAACCTCAACACACTGAGATTAGGGCCACACCTGCTCCAACACCTGCACCCAGGTGGCTGACCTGTCAATACTGGATCAAAACAGACCAGCTGCTCTGAGTTCTTTAAAGTCAGTGATTTCAACTTCAGAAAAAAGGCAGGAAATTTCAAAATAAAGGCTTATACAGCTAAACAAAAGGAACAATAAATAAATTTGATGTTTGTTTGACGGATTGAATGACGGTCCACTAGTTTTCTATTCATCAACTGGTAAACATTAATTTATATGTAACCCAACGTAATTTAATAATCTGTAGAAATAGAATAAATATTAGTCTTTTTATTGGTCATTTTCCCTCATAAATATTTTGTTAACTGATTTTTGTAATAATAATAATAATAATAATAATAAAGTGTTTGATTGTTTAAGCTGTTATTTTCTCTCAACATCTCTATTTTTAAGAGGTTTTGTCTTTAAAAATCTGCACGTTACAGAGGAGAAATTAACATCTTTTCAGTAAACAACAGATTATTCAGTCAGATTAGAGCTTTGATTCAAACAGAAATGATTTTTGTTTCTTACCTCCTTTTAGTGTTCCGCCAACAAATAAAAATAAAATATAAAAAAAACAAAAAACAAATCAAAGCAGAACAAAATGACACAAGTCCTCAGACATCAGAAAGCTTATTGGATAAAGAGTAGCCTCCTCTTCTCTCCTCCTCCTCCTCCTCCCAGGAGCCTCCTCGTCCTGCCTCTACTTGTTGCAGGAGGTTGAGGGCACCGTCTCCGAGGGGAGCCATTGGATCACGGCCCCTGATGGAAGTGCTTATGTAGCTTTTTGCGATTCGCCGTTGCCATAGTGACGCTCCTAAGCCTATTTGTTCACAATAAGCTCCATCAGCTGAAAGAGGAGCCGATGGAGACGCAGATAGGGAGAAGGGAGGTGGACTGAGGGGGAATTGTGATGTGAGGTTGCCCCGTGTGAACTGCCCACCCACAGATTTACAGAATCTCTCTCTTATCTAAGGTTTTTATTTTTTATTTTGAGCAGGTAATCCAGACTGAATGTGGAGTTTGTGTGGGTGGATTATATGAAGGTTGGTTTATTCCGCATGAAGGTGGGAGTAACTAACCTTAGATGGTTTTATTCTTTCTGCACATATTCACTTAAATCCTCCTCATTCTCTTGACGTAACGTTTGGGTTTTATGCTTCACCGCTGCAACATCTTCATCAAACTACTTCTGGACAAAAAGATCAAAGGCTTGGATTAAATCAGGCACAAATAAATAAACTGAGTCCTTGCCTGCTGATGAATGATGTAAATATGTTCTCTGGTACACGTGGTTTCCAGGGTTAATAATTAAATTCATGAAAAATGCTTGCTTACCCTTCGAATGTTTTATAATACAAATGAGAAAAAAACTGAATGACAGCATTGTACCGGGGAACATAAGGATCTGGGATATTTAAGCTCCTCAGTACCTTTGTTCCTCCGTACCTGTACCCCAGCACCTGTTTACCATTACTCGTGTTCCCCAAAATATAAGTTCCCTGATACCTTTGTGCCCCAGTACCTATGTTTCCCAAAAAACCTATGTTCCCAGGGACTAATGTTGCTCAATTCTTTTGTTCGCCAAGACCTATGATCCCCAGTACCTTTATTTCTCAGTACTTATGTTCCTTGGTACTTATTTTGCCTGAATAATTTTGTTCCTTGATACCTATGTGCACCAGGACCTATAGTTCCCTGTACATATGTTTCCCAATACACAAGTTCCCCTGTACCTATGTTCCCCAATACATTTGTTTCCCGATACTTATGTACCTCAACTAGCGCTGATTAGCTAACATTAAAAATGGCTGCCACATTAGAAAACACAAAAACGGCTAAAATCTCAGTCAGTGTTGCGGAAACCGAACTAAAACCTGGCGTGGAGGTTACTGAGACTCACCCACAACATGTACTCTGAGAACTAACCGGTATCTGTTTTTAGAAACTCGCTCTTAACTTTTGAGGTCAGCTGTGTCTGTTAACAAAATAACTTAGGAAGCACTGGACAGATTTTAACAAACATTTTCAGAAAGCGATGGTTGGATGTGCATCTACAACTGATAAATTTATTTCAAAAGGATTGCAACGGGTAATTAACTTTATTCAACATTAAAATGACTAAAACAGCTCAAAATTAGTCAATTTTACAAATATTGAGCTGATTTTTGGTGTTTGTATTAGCTGAGAGTCATTCTCTACCCTAACCATAGGATGAAAAGCAGCGGGCGATGTGCATTTCTTCAAGGAATGCTGGGCCTTTAACCTCAAACATAGATATACACTATTAATTGAGCAACCTCTTAGTGTGTGTGTGTGTGTGTGTGTGTGTGTGTGTGTGTGTGTGTGT